GAACTCTATGGAATATGAAGCTCTGATAGCACTTCAACGACGAGGCAAACTGAAGGGGGCAAGGTTCGTACCCCCTTCATGCAAGCCCCACTAATGGCGAATTCCACTGGGCGTTTTGGAGCGCGCCGGGATCAGTTGACCAGATCCGGATTGGAGCACAAGATCCGAACGGGGTCGCGCCGCCTACGGATCCTCAGTGGAACATGACCACTGCTCCGGGATCGGCGGATGCTTTCCCGTCATTCAACTGCCCGGGAATCCCCTTTTCGCGGCCGCCGCGGTCGTTTCGAAGACGTTTTCGCTACGCGGCGCTAACACGTGTTCGACGCACGAGTGGCAGGAATGGCTCAGGTGCTTCTAGCAACGATTGCCGGAATGCCCGTAGCGCGGCAAATACCTTCTCTTCTCCTTCCTGGAAAACGAACCGGCTGTCGAGCCAATGGATAAGCAGGCGGCCATTACGAATTCTTCTGATGTCGAGACAATCTAGGAGCCCAGCCCGCGACGTGCTTCTTCTTCTTCTGAGGCGAGATGGGCGAAATCACAGTAGGCGAAATCAGGCGAGATGCCCGACGAGAAAGGAAGTCACGTGTGTGCGCCGAGGGCTCCGAAATCGTTGGAGCGACTTTTCTCGTGGCGAATTCCACGGGTCGTTTTGGAGCGCGCCGGGATCGATTTTTCCAGAGCGAGCCTATTTCACGGGGCGATAGGGATCGAGACGAACTTGTTCCACTGGTAGTTTTGGATTAGCTCCCGCTCCAGATCTCGATCTGGATCCGAGAAAAGTCGCTCCCCCGATTTTGGCGGATTCAACCGGAAGCCAGCCGGGTCAGCCTTCGGCGCACACATGTGACTTCCTTTCTCGCGGGCATCTCGCCTGATCTCGCCTCAGAAGAAATGGTAATGGCTGCTTGCTTACCCCTTGGCTCGACAGCCGGTTCATTTTCCAGGAAGGAGAAGAGAAGAGAAGGTTTTGCCGCGCTACGGGCATTCCTGCAATCTTTGCTAGACGCTCCTGAGCCATTCCTGCCACTCGTGCGTCGAACACGTGTTAGCGCCGCGATCTCGAAAACGTTGATGCTTGGAACTTGGAACCAGCCGCTACCAGACACCTGATTTGTTTCAAAAATACCCAGGACGTTTTGGGGGAATGAATCGATCACATAGCAGGCGGTAGACAAGTAGACAGCGTTGAAAAATATTGCCGCGCCCAGGGCTGAGAAAGCAACGCTCGGTCACGGACCTCCAGAAAGTTCTCGTTTATTCATGTACCGCAGCGCCGCGACGGCAGAAATCGCGCCGCTTTGGGGCCAAAATCGCTGCATGTGAAACCCGCTTAAAGGGCCACCCACACTAGCGAGAAAACGCGCCCGGCGCGCCGATAAATCGGTTAAGCGGCAAGATAAAGGGCGTGTGTCTGCACGCGCTCGTGGCGCTGACTGTGCTTCGGCGACATTTTGTTACTTGCCGCGATCGGCGTGCCACGCGCGTTTTCTCGCTAGTGTGGGCGGCCCTTTACCCTGTCACACCGCGCTGACGGCGTGGACAACACGGGGAACACTCCGCCATCTTGATTGTTTACCTTCGTTCGTATGCGGCACGGAATCGCTGGAAATGTGACTCTACAAAGTGCTAGTGCGTTGGAAGTGCCGGGAATTACCACGGTACGACATCAACCAGTGGCTGTAATTAGAAAACTTGACACGGGGAGTATTTTTCGCTCTTTATTGTATCGAAACGTTCTTCATTCGCTGACAAAGCAGATAGCCCTAACCGAGGAAAGTGACATCGCTGGTATATGTTCGGCATTTACGCCACAGTATGAAGTGTTTCTGTCCGGATCTTTCATGCAATTCCTATTTCTACTGTGAAATTGCGTTAGCACCGGCAGTACCCCAAACCGTCTTTTGTAACGTGGTGTTGAGCTGAGCTGACAGTGCTTCAAAACTGCGACACCGACACCATCGGCCTTCATAACAATCGGTGGAATAAATATTGTCACGGGTGGTGACCAATAAACAAGAAATAAACAGAAATAAATAAACGTTTAAGGTGGCGAACTTGTGCCAAAAATAAAGAAGGAAACAGAAGAAAGCAGAGCGTCGCGGGCGTCGAAGTCGGCGTGTCAGCAGAGTCGAACGCTGGGGCGAAAACTGACTCGACAAGGTCGCGGGCGGCCTCTTATCTAGAGTGCGTCGCTATCTCGAAGATTCGGCGAAAGCAGCTCGAGCGTCGCGTGATCGGGCGAGAATGAACACGCACTTTCTAGAAAACAAAAGCAGGAATAAATGATAGAAGTTACGGCCGTGCCGCAGAATTGCTGGTGCTGGCCTGAGCGCCGCGACGGCAGAAATCGCGCCGCTCTAGGGTCAAAACCGCTGCATGTGAACTAGGCTTTAGGGGTGTCGCGAACCGGCCGCGGTTCGAGTTCGACCAGGTTCGACTTTTTCGAACTTTTAGTGGAAAGTCCGACGAACCTTGTATCGAGGCTCGACTCGTGTGCGCATGCGCGTCAGGCTGGCTCGTTGGCTTCGGATTGGATGGGAATGGCTAAGAGATGAATTAAGTGCAGCGCTGATTGGCTATTTCAGTTAATACAGTACTAAAATTAAGTTATTAACTTCTTCAGTGATTAGATTTAGTTTCTTTTAATTGCAGCTGTTCACAAAATAAAATAACCCTTTGCATAAAAAAAAAATTCTCCAAACCCACACATGCTTGTATCAAGGGCTGGCCACACCGTCCACAAAGTCGAACCGGTCGAATCTGGCGAAAATATCGAAGGTTCGTCGAACCGGTTCGACCCAGTCGAACCCCGAAAGTTCGACCAAAAAATCTGGTTCGACAAAAGTTCGCGACACCTCTAGACAGGGTTGTCGGACAACAAATCGGGCAACACTGTTGCCGGGCGGCAGCAACATGTTGCCCGACTGTTGTTGTTGCCGCGATGTGACAGGGTCGCCGGCAACACGACTTCCCCGTGTTGCCGGATAGATTTGTCCAACTGTCCCCTCAGTGTGACAGGACCTTTACCTCTTGGCTCGACAGCCGGTTCGTTTTCCCGGAGAAGAAGAGAAGGTTTTGGCCGCGCTACGGGCATTCCGGCAATCTTTGCTAGAAGCTCCTGAGCCATTCCTGCTGCTCGTGCGTCGAACACGTGTTGGCGCCGCGATTGCGAAAACGTCTTCGAAACGACCGCGGCGGCCGCGGAAAGGGGATTCCCCGGCAGTCGAAAGACATGAAGGCAAATGCCGATCCCGGAGCAGTGGTCATGTTCCACGGGGATCCATCGCCGGCGCGACCCCGTTCGGATTGTGAGCTCCATTCCGGATCTGGTCAACTGATCCCGGCGCGCTTCAAAACGCCCAGCGGAATTCGCCATCGGATCCAGATCAAGATCTGGAGCGGGAGCTAATCCAAAACGACCAGTGAAACATGTCGGTCGCAATCCCGATCGCCCAGTGAAATAGGCTCGCTCCAGAAAAGTCGATCCCGGCGCGCTCCAAAACGACCAGTGGAATTCGCCATAAGCTAATCTACCGGGTGTCCCAGCTTGCGGCCAGGCTCTTTGAATCAACCGCAAAATTCAGTTTTTTAGCCTATCGCACTACGATTTTGTGCAGCGTTGCCCACAGATGGTGCATTTTGTTTTTTTGTAAAATTTGTTAAGAGTAAATTTACCTCAGGATAAAGTAAAGAAAGAAAAAGGCTTAGCTCCTATGGAAATGCAGCGAAGCCACCGGTCTTCAAACGATACGGTACCATTTCGCACGGGAGACACAAGATGGCGCAAGCAGTTGCGACACCAACTGCCGCCAACGAACGAGCATACAGCGCCAAGAGCCGGCATCTTTAGCAGACTGTCTTTTTGGACTCAAAAGCGGCGCGAGCTTTTTTGATATCAGTTGCCAATGCATTATTTTATCATCCTTACTAATACAACACGCTGAATGGACACATAATCGATTAAAAAAAATGGTTTGTCAAATTATTTTGGCTGTTTTTTTTTTTTTTTTTTCGTGGTACTTATGTCGTCTGCTTTCCAGTTCATTATTGTTACTGCACCAGTTATTGTTTCTGCGACTGTCGCTGCCACGGGCCGCTTTTGAGTCTAAAACATTGTCTGTTAATGACGCCGGCTCTCGGCACCGTATGCTCTTTGTTGGCGTCGCCCGTGCGAAACGGCACCGTATTGTTTGAAGACTGGTGGCTTCGCTGAGTTTCCATAGGAGCTAAGCCTTTTTCTTTCTTTACTTTTTCCCCAGGTAAGTTCGCTCTTTGCAAATTTTACAAAAAAAAAAAATGCACCATCTGTGGGCAACGCTGCCCAAAATCGTAGCACAGTAGGTTAAGAAGCCGAATTTTGCGGTCGATTTAAAGAGCCTGGCCGCTACTTGGGACACCCGGAAGCAACTTTGGTGGTAGCCCAGTGAAAGCAGGGTCAGGCTTGGGGGGTCTGCAAAAAGAGATGTCACGGGCAAAACATTGCCCGGATCTATTTTGTTGGCCTAATGTTTACTATGTCTCCTAAAACTAGTGGTGTGTGTCAATATTTTTTTTTATTAAACATTTAACCTCGGAGCAGGGTCAACTCAAGCACGTCACCTCCTCCCCCCTTAAATCAACCCAGGAGTGGAAGGAGAGAGTGGAGACCATGAGCCTGATGAACACATTCATCTCGTTCCGAAGAACAGACCTTAACCGAGTCAACGCAAACTTGCCAAGAACAATGCTTGGAAAACGTTGAAAATGTGCGAACGTGAGCCACATCCTCTGCCAAGTTCACGAATGCGTCCAGTTCGAGGGAACAACGCACGCCCAGCACAAAGTTCCAGCTAGTCATCCGACGGGCGCCGGCTCTTGACAGCGGAACGTATCGACGACGATCTTCCACACAGTCCCCTGGGCGGTAAGCGAGAATACGTCCAGTTCGTGGGTACAGCAGTGCGCCCGCCCAGCACGTTCCAAACAGGGGTCAGATGGGCGCCGGTTCTTGACAGCGGAACGTCTCGACAACGATCTTCCACACAGTCCCCTGGCTGCCTGGGCGGTAAGCGAGAATGCGTCCAGTTCGTGGGTACAGCAGTGCGCCCGCCCAGCACGTTCCAAACACGGGTCAGATGGGCGCCGGCTCTTGACAGCGGAACGTATCGACGACGATCTTCCACACAGTCCCCTGGCTGCCTGGCGGTAAGCGAGAATGCGTCCAGTTCGTGGGTACAGCAGTGCGCCCGCCCAGCACGTTCCAAACACGGGTCAGATGGGCGCCGGCTCTTGAAAGCGGAACGTATCGACAACGATCTTCCACACGGTCCCTTGGGCGGTGAGCAGGAAGGACTCGCTGAACGGGGTCCAGCGCTTCCCGCTGAACTTGATCCGTCCCGCGGCGATGACGTGTATCGTGGTCTGTCCCTGGACGAAGTCGTCTCGGATCGGCTGCGAGTCGCAGGCGGCCAGGTCGGTCTCGCACGTCGGCAGGCCTTCGTAGAACTTGCCGATGTCCGCCTTGCCGCTGAACGCGTTCCCGTTCCAAAGCACGTTGGCGGTGTCCAGGAACAGGTTGCTGAGGAGGTGTCGCCGCTTCTCCAGGGTGTCGTAGAAGAGTTTGGCGAACTCTTCGCCCGCCTTGGTGGCCTGGTCGTCTTTTTGACGCTGCGAGTCCACGGTAGAGGCTGCGAGAGCTGCCATGTTTTTCGAATTGTCTGGCTTTGGCTCGTGAACTTGCTTGGCTACTCTTTAGATTGCGAGCATTTTTTTTCAGTCGCGCGCTCTGTCGCGCGCCAGTTTGGAGCGCCCACTGGAGTACCGTTTGTCCCCAATGTCCATGAATTGCGCACTCGCGTAAGGTTAAAAAACTTAACAAAGGACTTTAGCGTGGACCTAACCTTCTGTCTACCGTTGCTGGCCTTGGCTCAACGCCTTGGATTACTTGGATCTGCTTGCACCGCCTTCACACTGCCGAGCAATGCTGCCTTGTGGGCAAACTGAACTGTGCTCATTAGAATTAATCTAATTATTCTTCATTGTATTATTATTTCCGCCACCACGCTGCGCCGCGTTCCCTTTTTCTCCTGCCACCTGCGTTGGCTTGGCAGACGAGAAGCGAACGCACCGTGAGGTGACATCTTTAGCTTCGTTCGATTTACCTGCACCTCTTGCACCGCTGCAGAAAAGTGTTGAGAAAAGTAGAAAAATCGACGAGAAAAGTTTGGATCTGTACAATTCCGAGTAGACAGCCTTACACTTGTCTGGTGGACACAGTGCGTGTGTCACTAATCTCTATGGCGTGTGTCAACCAGGCTAGGTGGCGCATAGTACCGGTACCGCCCGTTACAGAAGGCATAGCCAATATTATTTATCCATCCATTTATCCACGTGACGTAAAATCCACCGCCTGCCGTTATGGAAGGAACGAACGCACCATATTCCTGCATGGCGGCGTCAAAATCCATGTGCTTGCGCATCGTTGCATCGTTTTCGCGTTCTGATTTTTAAGGACGTGCTACGTGCTATTCATATCAATCGCCGAACGCAGACAGTCATGACGGGCGACGACGCCGGAGCGCCGCCGACGGTCATGTTCCACGAGATGGGCCTGGACGATCGGCTCCTCAAGGCGATCGCCAAGTTGGGCTGGACGAAACCCACTCCGATCCAGGAGAAGGCGATCCCGCTGATCCTCGAGGGCAAGGACGTGCTCGCCAGGGCCCGGACGGGCTCCGGCAAGACCGGCGGATTCGCCGTGCCGCTGGTCCAGAAGTTGCTCCACGCCAAATCCACGGGGGAGGAACTCTCCCCCGTCGTCCGAGCCCTGGTGCTGGCGCCGAGCAAGGAGCTCTGCCACCAGATCCACCGGAACCTGGTCCAGCTGACGTCGTCGTGCTCGGACTCTGTGCGCTGCGTCGACGTCTCCGGGCAGGTAACGTGGAAAACTTTGAAGCGGTCGTAGACACCAACTTGGGTAGTGCTTCGATCGATCGAGGTAACACGCTCGCGCTAGTAACTTTGGCTTGGCTCGCACTCGTGGTGGAATGGCGCACAAAAAGCTGCGGTCATTGGCAGCTGAAACGCCTCGTTTGGTCTTTGGACAATCTGGTTGGCGGCTGCGATCGTAAGACACTCACCATGCCCTGTGTCTACACAGTGCTCAGTCTACAGACACTGCCTCTTTTTTTGTGCCACATTGGTCATACAACAAATAGTCATGCTCCAAGTGAAACGAGCTTGGAAGGTGCTGGAGGCGCTGGTAATTTCGTATAGTGTCTGCAGCGATTACCATTTGGATGATGGATGTGGCACTGCAGCTTGGACTGAGAAGGCTGCTGGCAAGCTATCAGTGGCTTTCAGTGGGAGATAATATTCTAGGTTTCATTTCTTCCAGGCACATACAGCAGGGGTGGAGCTGCTCTGCCATTGTGCGCCTAATAACTTTTCATCCGCCACACTGATACAAAGGCATAAATAAGAACGAACAAAGGTGCGCCCAAACTGAAGTTATGAACAAGCCTCGTCAAAATTGGCCGTCTCACCGTTCTGTTGGCAACATTGGCATAAGAACTTCCAGCCCAAAGGGAACGCCTGCGGATCCGAATCCGAAGCTCTGTATCCAAGGGTCGCTGCCATGGTTATACTTTGTTTCAGCTTATAACAGTTGTTACAGCATATATAAATAAAATGAGATGTTCTGCTACCAGACCTCTTTAAAGCCATTCGCTGTCGCTTCCCTTCGTCGCTTTCCTTTCACACCTTCCTTCACTTTGCTTCCACACGTAGATGATGCTACAAGCACGAGCTCAGGACTTTCAGCGTCTCTGCCAAGAAAGCGCGTCTTTGCAGTTCAAACGCTGTTCAAGGCCTCATGCTGGCGCTTGTAGCATCGACCGCGTCTGGACATAGCTGCCGTTGCTGCATGCTTTTCTGAAGTCCTGGAGTCACTTCATTGGAATAGTGGAGAAAACAGCGCCACCATGTTGCGATAAACTCAAATGTATTTAAGTTGGCGTGCCTCCCTTTTGGGTGTGTTTGCATGACTAGACATTTCCACTGTTTACAAAGATCACAGTCCACACGGCCAAAATCAGTTTATCGAAGGCCAGGTATCGAACCTCGACCTTTTGCATGGGAAGCATGCAAGATAACCGTTAGGCCGCGAGTGCACTGCCTACTTGGCCAGCTGCACGCGCGGCAAATATTTATCTTTTTGCTAGTCAGTTCTATCTCGTGTCACACTGTCGCGCAGTTTTGCTTTACATGTTGTGTGTAATTTCATAAACAAACGTTCCAAATAAAATGTTACTTGAAGCTGCCGTTAAGTTCACATCAAATTATCTGCATGCCATCTTTTCCCTAGTTTTGAAAACCAGGTGACATTTAGCCTTTATTTTAACATTCTTAAAACTCTACTCTGGTCCCAACTTGCTCCAAGACCTTGTGTTTGCTGCTCCGAGCCTGCTCCAAACTGTAGTTTTTTCTGCTCCCAAGGTTGCTCCAAAGCTGCTTTGCCCAGTTCCATCCCCAATACAGAAATCTGGCCCACAGGAGCAATAAATGCTTACTGTATAAACGAGCTGTGGCATTCGAATGCATTTTGTAGAAGCTTGTTTTTTATGGCGTATTGTTCGTTGGTCTTTAGTCAACAATAATTGCCAGTTCTAGAACTCGCTCAGCTAGAAATACACAGGCACTATTTTCTCTCCAATTTAACCTATGAAAGTAGTCAATTGCATGGAGATGCCGAATGTTACCATTATTGCTCTTTTTAGGTGTGTTTTGCGTTATACTTTGATAAAATTTTTAAGTATTTGGGTGTAGGAGACATAATAGAGAAATTATTGTTCGAAAATGACATCCGGTAACATTTCTGAATCCACCCGAGTGCCCCTTTAAGCCTTGCGTTCATATTATATTATAACACAGATAGAGTGATGCTGGATGGAATCTAAAGGTACCGAACCTTGACTCTAGAGTGAGATTGAGTAAATTGGAGGGGGTGGGGGGGGGAAAGGTAGGGGTGAAGATGCAAGTTGAATGCGGTAAGTCTTAAGCGCAGACATATGTGGACCCGAGAGAAAGAAAGCAGATGAAAGTTTAAGCATGTTCGTTTTGCCGCGACGTATCAAAGTTCTTTGAGCACTTGTCGACTTTATTTTGTATTACATATCGCACGATGCAAGAGTTTTAGCACAAAATAATAATAATAATATACTTTATTTTCTGGTAGTGTCCGAAAACGGCCACGAAGGCCTATTTATTGGTACACTATAAACAAAATAACCATCACATCAAAGATGCATCTCTCTGTTGAGGAACTGATTGAGGCACAGGTTAATCAATACTAGCCACAAAATTAACAAACTCAATGCACACATATATCAAGACGCTACAGATAACACAAAGAGCTAAAATCAAAAGAAACCACAATGCTAGAAAATAAAGCTGAAGAAATCAAGGTAGAAACCTTGGACGCAATGTTTCGCTCCTTCTTTACACATATTAAAGCGTCGCCAGCAACATTGACCCTCTAGAATTACCAATGCCCACGTCTATGCCCCGCCATTTTAAAGTGGCTGAGATGTGCCAGAAGATGGTAGACCTCTAAATTTATTATGTGAACTCCAGGGAGTTTTGAATGTGGCCTCACTATAGTGGCTGGAATCTGACTGGTGTGTTTAGCACCCTTGTTTATGGATCAAAAGTGGTCCCCAAGTAGCCACAGACGACGTGACGGCAGCTGGCACATCCCGCTGTCGGACGTCGCGATTCTGGTGGTTGTCGTAACAGTTCCGGGAAAACATAGGAGCGAATGCGAGAGTTGCTGTTGTCGCTACGACCCTACTTCTAACTGCAGGAGCTTCCGTGGGCTATTAGACCCGAGAATGACCTGCAGCAGAACAGGCGTCTGCTGTTTCCGCCACCGCTGCCTTGCCACTGCCAGAATTGTGGCAGGCAGCAGCATAGCACTTCTGTGACCCCGTAAATGCACCAGTCAGAGACACGGCCCAGGGGTTCAGTTTCAGTCGAGACGAGAGCATCGTCTGATTGGATGTGGCGTCACAGCTTGCGCATAATCAACCAATGAAGCACTTCTGACCCATTCGCGAGTTCACAACTGGGCAATATTTTGGTAATAGTGTTTCACCAACATACAGATAGCCAGAGAGGTTTTGCTGCCTCAGATGTGCTTGCATTTAATGCTCCTGCATCCACCAGTTGATTCAGCTTTTGTACGGCAACGGAACAACTCGACGTTTGCAAACTAAGCGTGGAATGTCAGTGGCTTCCAACTTGAAATAGCGGACAATCACAATTTCAGCCTGCATCTGTTCTCGCTTCGTCGCGTTACTCGGTTCGTAGCAGACGATCAGGTGGGTTTTTTTTTCTGTCTCTTAGTGTGTGACGTACAGTATTTTGTCGTTTTATTTCCATCTGAAAACGGCGCTTCGTAACAGACAAACCGTGCTCTTTGCTCACGTTAGAACACAAACCGTCTACAAATGCTAGCTTTGCTCGCTCCACGAGAAGAAAATTTGATCTCTTGCGGTGACTGAAATCAGACATCAGGCACCGTAGTATTCTGTAATTCTGTGCCGGTCATTAGGCAGAAAAGGAGGAACCACATTTGAAGACGCGGTAGACAGACCAACTGGAGAGTGCTGCAGGTACCATAGCCATACAGAACTCAGCCTGTCGTAGGGAAGCACCTCATTTGAGGACACAGTGGACGCATCAGTCGGAGACATGCTGCAGGCACCGTTGCTTTATGGAACTCTGTGCCCGCCACCAGGCAGAAATGGAGAGAGCACACTCGGGGTAGACGGACCAGTGGGGGACGTGCCCCGTAGCTTCCACAAGCTCTGTGCACCCGCCCGGACAGGTGGACCTGGCGGCCCAGCGGCCGCTGCTGGCCGAGCAGCCGGACGTGGTGGTGGGCACGCCGGCCAGGGTGCTGGCCCACCTGCAGGCCAGGAACCTGGACCTCAAGGCGGGGCTGGAGCTCCTGGTGGTGGACGAGGCAGACCTGGTGTTCTCGTACGGCCACGAGGAGGACGTGCACGAGATCCTGCGCCGCCTGCCGCCCATCTGCCAGACTATCCTCACCTCTGCCACCCTCAGTCCAGAGGTGATGGGACGCTGCATTGCTTTGTTCTGGTCTCACTTTTTGCTGCGCTTTTTCTCTTTTAGCCGTAATGATTTTTGGGGGAAGTCCCCGAGGTGGAGAGTATTTATACTGAGTAAAATTGACTTCCACCTAAGATGGAGCGTAACTTGCACCCTCTAGGCGACTATATTTCATTTAATTTTAAAGGGCGACTGATCCTTTTTTGCTGGGCAGGAAACCGGTTTTCAGTTTTCTTTCCATTTCTTCTCGCTTTGTTCTCCTCTCCCCACAGAAGCGGGTTTCTGCGGTATTTCCAGCAGAAAAGTAGAGGGTCCCTCTTTTTCTCAAATGGGGGAATTGAGGGAGAGTTTCTCCCTTTCTCGACGGCCTTTTAAGTTGCAGCTTGGTGGATGTTAAGAGATGGTATTGCCAACCGAGCAGCCCCAAAAGCGCGGCGTCGCAGCGTTTTTCTGTGCTTCTGCTATAGACCACTAGACCAATAAAGCACAGTAAATGTGCGGTCCATTTGTGCCTTTAAAGGGAAGCTACGGAGATTCTCGAAAAAAATGAGTTAGAACTGAAATCTAGTGTATCGTTACCCCATGAACCCGAATACCCAAACCATTTGCTGTGCAAGTATTATTAAACGCAAAAGACAGTCACTGTATGTGACGTCATCGACAAACCTTTTGGCTGCCCAAGGCTAGGGAGGCGGGGCTTCAGCTCCATTTTGAAATTGCTCTTATGGCTCTCTGGCGTGTTGCATTGAAACACAATTGTGATACCTGTTATTCTAAAGGCCAAATTAACGCAATTCGTGTTTTTTGCTCAAATGCAGAACTGCCCCATCTTCCCTTTAATATGTTTGTTCATGTTTGTATGTGGGCTTTGACTTGTCTGGGCATTGATCCCATGACCTCTCAGAGACTAGCAATCTTCCAATTTAACTCAGTTGGTAGAGTGTTCCGCTACAGTCAGCGACAGGTTAAGAACTCGGCGAATTCTCCGCCTCAGGCACGAGCTTTCCGTCTTTGGCGAGACTTCGTGGGACGCGCAGCCAAAGCCTGGCAAAGGGCAACAAGTGCACGCGGGGCATCCACTCTGTCTCAAAGTGGTCCCGAGATTGATGCCCAGGTAGATTGTGGCCCCTAGTTGGCCTGGCGGCACGAGTTGTATTGTACTCCATTTCTGGTGGAAGTCAATTTATTCTTTTCTCAACGCATTATGATAAAAGGCCACCCTCCATTTCCTAAACATTTGTGAGAAAGGGCATATCAAGTGCCCCCCCCCCCCCCCCCCTGCAAACTTGTGAGCCCAGCAAGCTAATCGAGCTGCTTCTCCAAGAAGCCAGTGCAAAGTGGCGATGCTTCGAGGCTGCTTCACACATTTGCATCCAACTGTGCCCAAGTGTATTGTGTTCACTTGGAACCTCTTGCGACGAGAGAAGACACTGGTATCATCCAGCCCTGGAACTGCATTTAACTAGACCGAGGGTTTTGCTGGTTTCACACCTATGCACGACACGCGAGAAATGGTTGCTTTTTATTAGTAGGCCTTAGATTGTCCTGAGTTTATTTATACATTGTTTTTTTTTTTTTTTTTTTAAATCAGTATATATCTGTAATTGGTTTTATATGGATGCTAAAAATATTAATTATTAGCAAAAGGACTTATGAAAAATTACCGTAAGAATTTATTTATTTTTCATCCGTATACGCCCTTATAGCGCTCGTTATAGGTAATTTGTGGTGATTCCACTGACTTGAGACTTGCAGGGTGCTTGATTCTAGTTAAAGGTATGTGTCTTTTTTTTTTTTTTTTGTTTCAATTGATTTTGTATTCTGCATTTTTCGGTTAAGATCAAAAAGTCTGCAACCCACGGTGAAAAAATTGTGTGTAAAGATCGCTAAGACAATTATGCCGAAACCGCCAATGTAGCTGCGCCGATTCTCGACAAAATGTGTCGGCGTTTAGTGCGGGGGCTCCAACTCAGCAAAGGATGGAGACTGCAACCTTGCAATGGACAACATACTGTCATCTTGGGAGAGCCAGTCTGTTCTCCTGGGCATCGGCGGTTTGAATGTAGCCACCGCAGCTTCTCTCAATCACCACCTACGGTCCACACACCGTTCGCTCCGCGTTCACGAAACATAGATCTTGCACCAAAGTACGACGAGCAGGAAGCCTCTCGAACCTTCGGACATTGTGCGCACCACTTAGATATATGGAGTTGCATGAACTTTATAACGCGAGCGCAGTTTCAAAGTTGCCGCGAGCTAGCGGACGTTGCGGCAACCGGGATGATCGAGGCCGCATACACGGGCTCGGTCGTCCGTTCCAGCATAGACGCACTGTGCTGGCAGCAATTTGAAAGATGCACAACAGCTCATGCGTAGTGAACCATGCTGCATGCATAGGGGTAATAAATGCTAAGGCATTTAATATATGTCGGAAGTGCTCCTGAGCTACCTCATAGATGGCGCCTGTGTGTTCTCTCGTTGCAAGATAACTCAATGCCACCCGAAACGCAAATGTGTAAGCCAGCCTTTACGCGCGAGTGCTGGCGCTAAGCAGTGAAGCTGGAGGTGAGAGCACCATGGTTGCTTTGAAACCGGGGGTTCCGCCATACCCCTATACACTCTGTGCGACGCGACTGGCGCGCCGCCGCGCGGCCGGTACCGAAGGTAGGCAGTGAGCACCCCAGAGAAAACGAAACCGAAACCACGCCGGCGTACGTTGGTACGCGTTGAAGTCGGAGTGGTGCTGTTGCGCTGGGTTCACAGCATGAAGTGCTGCATGTGCTGCGTCATTAAGTGCTTCAATAGTTATGCGTCGTATCTCGTGGAGACAAAGTTTCACAGTTTTTCCCCTCGCCGATGTTTTGTGGGACAGCGACAACGATGGACCCGTGCCGTACGACGCGAGAAATTTGGTGTCCCGATCATGTCTGCCACTGTGTCGGCACGGCTGACATATTCTACACTGCCGCTTTGCGCTCTGCGTTTGTTTTCGTACCAGTAACGCCTATATGTGTCAGCGCCGATGGGACGAACTGAAATGCCATCCCACACTCGCGGGTATGCAGTGCCGATTTCGTTGGAGGAATGCCTTCCAAAGAAGTTTCGTCCCCATCGTACGTGTCGATGATATTTCCGGACAAATATGGCACGCAATCTGTACTTCATGAAGAAAGATTTGAACGGTAAAAAAAAGTTACAAATATAAATCTAAAGAAAACAACCATGAAACTCGGAATCACTGGAGAGTCGGCGTTTGAGTATGGAAGTTTATGTGGTGTGCTTTCTTTCTTGATAAGCCTCCTTTTGGATGTGGAAACACTGACACCCCGAGTTCTGTAGACAACAATTTTTTTTTTCTCGGCTTTAGAGCCACCTATCGCAAAGTGGTTCGAACTGGAAGTACCGCCCACTGGTCCCTTCCTACCTGTAAAGTGTGCACCTCCCACGATGAGTGGTATTTTCTGACAGCCTTTGACGGTCAAAGTCAGTTCCCATTTAGTTACGCCGCCCAAACTAAATTTCCACCTGGTTTCGCTATGCCAACTATTTTTATAATAAGTGTTGTGCCAAGTGACGGTCATGTCAAAGTACCTGTGGGCCGAAAATCAGCAGCTCGCACAACAGGTTATTACACAACAGGTGACCGCAAAAGCCCTTGGCTGCCAAACCGTGTGTTGGCCGACAACTTCATTTTCTCGGCTTTGGAACCACCTTTCGTAAAGTTGTTTCGATTGGAAGTACAGTCCACTAGTCCCTTCCTACCTCTAAAGACTCCACCTCCCCCGACCAGTGGTATTCTCTTGACAGCCTTTTCATGGTCAAAACCGGTTCCCATTGAGTTACGCCGCACAAACCAAATTTTCACCTGGTTTCCCTGTGCCACCTTCTTTTTTTTTTTTTTTGTATAATAAGTGTTTTGTCATGTTACTGTCAAGTCCAAGCACCTGTGTGCCCAAATCTGCAGTATGCACAGCCCGCTATAACGCAACATTTTGGGTCCAATATTGGATATACCGTACAGCTTTATTTCTTCATTCGTTAGAAACAACCTTCACACCTGCCGTCTTAATGAAACTTGGCACACTTCGTGCAGAAACTTCGTGGACATCTCACTCGCCTCCAATATCATTGTTCCAGCAGTCCTACGTTTACAGCGACGAGCGAAATAAATTTCCCACTCAAAGCAATTATGGTGGCGGCCGTCTTGCTTTTCGGAAAATTGCTCCAACTCCTTTTTTGGCCGCAACTAGAGAAATTCCCCCGAATAACGACTAAAACTCAATATATAAGAAGAGGAGAACAGCTAAATGCCCTTCTTAGGTCTGCCCCAGCATTCATGCAACGTCACCCTCAACGTATCGGCTCAAAAAGCAAAAGTTTCGTCCGTGCGCGCTTCCGCCGCCACAGCTTGGCATGCGAAAAGGCGCCGCAGGCTGCTGAACGCGACTCACGGTCGAACGCCAGCTCCTCCGCTGGCGGCGCTGCGCGCGTTTTTCAAAGCGCCCCCTATAGTTCCCGCACGGAGTGTATAAGATATTGATGCCGCAGGGCGCACCAAACGTAGGTTCGGTGGCTAAGTGGATTAAAACAAATTAATTAAAAGTGCAATGTCCACAACTCACTTTGTGCGGCTGTCGGCCATGCTTTTCGTTCTTCACCGGCTCGACGCGCGGTATAATAGACGCATCGACGTGTTTCCACCTAAATTCTTAAACCGTGGGCTTCTTAGATGGCACTTAACCAATAGGGTGCTTTTTTTTTTCGTTAAAAAAAAATTCTCCCCTCCCCCCCAAAAAAAAGCAAAAAAAAAACATTTTTGGGGCGGGGGTGGGTCGGGGGGGGGTTGGGGGGGGAATTTGATGTTGGGAGTTTGAAAACAAATCAAAAGGCTGTAGTGAGGGACTGTGTCTCAAACATTGCTCCAAAGAGTTATTAAAGAAATATTTGTATGCGGTTCATTCCCTGCCAGCACAGTGCATCTGTTCCTTATTGCCAAAATATAATGTACAAACGCCGAAAAGAACGCAATTAGCTCAGTATTTGCTAGTTTCTCAAACACAGCTTCAAAGAAACCAATGATCCCTCGTGTCCGCAGCGTCTTTCAAACTTCTTTAGCCCTAGTGGCTCAAAAAAAAGATTCTCTCAGCAGTCTTATTGTGGCAACCAACATTTCACCCAAAGTTTAAAAAAAAAAAAGTACTCGAAATACCTGAGGATGGAGACAAACACACAACAACGAGGTCTTGCGTCGTTCAGCTTGTCTCTGTCTTTGATTTTTGTGATCACTTTTTCCAAACTAGAGGATTAACCGTGTCCTGTCGTAGTCTTCTGCTTTGTCCTCATTTTTTGTGTGTATTACGTTGAAGATGACAAGTTCTTTCAACCGGTGTCGTGTTTTGTTTAGACTGCCCCGAGTGTTTGTTCTAGTTTGAGCACGGTTTAAGCATGCCCTTGTAACGCATTGATCTATGATTATAAGTCCAACATATACCTTTCTCCTCACAATGTGCATAATATTGTCAGCAAAGTTTGCGAGCTTCTGAGCCGCTTTATTGCTCAGCTGTCCGACTCAGTCAAGGTAGCCAAGATTTCCCAGAGATTAAAAAGCTTAAGAATGCCTCATCTTGAGGCCCAACATAGGATCAGTGTTTCAAGTTCTGATTGATGTTTTCCGACTTGGCTGGCAAAGATGCAAACATTTTCTACCCTAGCTTTTCTGGGAGCGCACAATATTACACTGGTGCGCATCATACAGAAACGTTTGATTCGAGTCTGGAGATTGGAAAACCTGGTATGTTGTGCATTCCCCACTCTCGGGCTGCCTGTTGTTTTTCAGGGGGTCCATCTGAATTCCAGGTGGGCACTTGCTAAGTATTTTCCCGTAAGTGCCAGCATGCTTTCGTTGTGTCTCTGCAGGTGATGGACCTGAAGCGCGTCGCACTCCGGAACCCGGTGACGCTCAAGTTGGAGGACGTGCCACAGACGGAGCAGCTGGCCCAGTATGTGATCCGCTGCGAGGAAGACGACAAGTTTGCCCTCCTCTGCGCCCTGTTCAAGCTCCGCCTGATCCGTGGCAAGACGCTCATCTTCGTCAGCACGGTTGACCGTTGCTTCGTCGTCAAACTGTTCCTCGAACAGTTCGGCATCCGCGCCTGTGTCCTCAACTCGGAGCTCCCGGTCAGCTCCCGCTGCTTCATCGTAAACCAGTTCAACGAGGGACGCTACGAGATTGTTGTCGCGTCCGACGAGAAACTGGACGCGCCCAAGACCGCCGAAGCCGGCGCCACCAAGGCCAAGAAGCCGAAGTCGTCGCGGAAACAAGACCGCGAGTATGGCGTATGCCGGGGACTCGACTTTCAGTTCGTCACCAACGTCATCAACTTGGACTTCCCGACGTCTGTGGCAGCCTACGTCCACCGGGTGGGGCGCACGGCGCGCGGCGACAACCGCGGCACCGCGCTCAATCTGGTCAAGAACCGCGAGGCCAAGCTGCTGGAGGCAGTGCAGAAGGAGCTTCCGGAGGCAGTCTTTCGGCCCTACCAGTTCAAGATGGAGGAGATAGAAGGCTTCCGGTACCGCAGCAAGGACGCACTGCGGGCCGTGACGCGCATCGCGGTCCGCGAGGCCAGGCTAAAGGAGATCAAGACTGAGATCCTGACGTCGCAGAAGCTCAAATCGTACTTCGAGGAGAACCCGAGGGAGCGTCAGCTGCTGCGGCATGACAAGGCACTGCACGTCATCAAGCACCAGCCACACCTCAAGCACGTGCCGGAGTACATCGTTCCGCCAACGTTGCAGAAGGCCGTCCGCGCGGGCACCAAGAGGAGAGGTCACGCGATGGACGACGGGGAGATGGCACGTGGCGCTCCGACGCCGTGCGGGAATCGGATCGGCGTCAAGAAGGGCAAGAGGGCGTCTTCAGCAGCAAAGAGGGACAAGCGGAAGAACAAGGATCCGCTGCAAAGCTTCAGCTTTGACGATTAGAACTGGATAGGTTTCAGAGACTGACGCTGCTTCTTCCTCGGTTGAAAGGGTGCCGGGGTGCCATTTTCGATTGCATTAAAATGGCGTGCTGCCCGGGCAGGAAGCAAGCTGTGAGAAATTACATATGCTGTACACTTGTTCTCTTAAAGATCATGAAACGATTTTTCAACTTTTTCCTTCTAAGCTTTCCTCCTCAACTCACAAATTGCGCATTGTACCAAACTGTTCAAGACGGAAAGGACGGACTCCCCTCCTGCTTGCACCCTCGTTTGTGTACCCGGACAGAGTCATTCTCCCCGTAGAAGATTAGCCCGTCGCTCAAAATTCAGACAAAAGTTGCTTTCCCTACCCCGTTCACCCCGAAGCTGACAGTGCTGTGGAGGCTACGTGCTCATTGGGCCAGCCACACTTGCCATGTCGTCGCACTCCCTCGCACATACTCATGCACAGAGAATGAGGTCAAGTGATGAAAGGGAGGCGGCTGATTGATCCAGCAAGCACATGGCTTCCACTGCACGGTCAGCTTGGGGGTGAAGGGAATAAGTGAGATCCGGTGCCGCGTGACGTGCGTTTGAGTCGGGTGACGCGCTTCGGGTATCGCAGATGTATCACAGTGAAAAGGCAGAGAGCTTTCGAAGGGAAGGAGGTACGAAATAGTCTGCTGTGTTTTCAAATTTTCTTATTGAAAATCAGGCTTTTGACTTTCTACCTTCTTTCTTCTGGCCCACTAAACGATATGCTATTAGTAAAATCCCAATTTAAATTCATTTATCCCACCCCAAAAATCGTTTCATGGGCCCTTTAATTGCTTGCTAAGAATGGTGTAGCTCCTTGAGTATCAGGGCAACAGGGGGGGGGGGGGGGGGGGCTGTTGCTTGTGGGAGTTGCAAGTTCAGTGTTTTCTGGTTCTTGAAAAACGAGAAGAAATTGGTGTTCATGGAGCCATTTTTTGTAGGCAGTTATATTGACAGATATCTGCACTATACTTAAAGGCATTGAGTCTCGTGCATCTGTTACATCTCTGCAGAATCCCCTTTTTTTGCTGGTGTCTGGAAACTCTTTCACAAAGCAGTTGGTTGTAAAAACTCGTAAGCTTTGGCAGGAACATCATCCCAGTGGTTCGTTGAATATATTCTTACAGTCGTAAAATATGCAACCACTTAAGCACCAATGACTGCTAAACTTTGAAAGCACTGCTTCTGATATGCCTTTGTGGTGTTTGCTTTGACACAAAATCCTGATCGTGATGTAGAATACCCGAGTCTTTGGTAAAAGCTGGGAAACTTGGTTGAAGAAAAAAGACTGGAAAAGAATGTCTCGTTCCCTTCCCCCGTCTTTTTTCTTCGACCAAGTTTCCCTGCTTTTACCACAGTCTCGGGTATTCTACATCATGATCAACTTCCACCAGCTCGCCTGCGCACTCACCGTTTTTCATTGACAAAACCTTTATTTTTTATATAGTTTATTTTGTGCATATTACATTATCAGCTTTATTTCCTTTGCTGCAGCGATACTTCCCTGAGGTTTGTCAAAAACTTGCATCAGTTTAGTGGTTACTCTGAAAGATGTGTTTGAAGTATTTCTTGATTGAGTGCTCACAATATACCCATACATCAGGTATTGATACACCCTTCAAGTAGGATTATTGGTTGGGGTGCGCCAATATATAGTGGTCATTATCCAGGGATGTACTAAAAGGTCAAACGAACTACCGCAGCAAACAGAGAAATCTGAGACCAGTTAGGAAATCGCTGAAATGTTTATACGCCTGAAAAGGTGTATTAAATTGCAGCAGAGGCGTGCAGTTTAGAGAAACTTGTTTTAGTGAGGCCATTTTACCGACCCCAGTTTATCGAACACCCTTATAGAGAAAGTGGCGTTTAAAGGAAATGGCACGAGCCTCCTTTAAGCGAATTTGGCCACCATGAAGCGGCACATACGGGTGGGCCACGTGTTGCCATTTTTGTAATGAGCCGCCGCAGACTGTTGCCGTGAAGCGGCGTGAACGGGGGGTCAGGTGGGATAATACGCGCCCCAGTGATGCATGCGCAAAGTGGAGAAGTCATTTGGCCTTTTTTTAAACGGCATCCTAATAAGCAGGCACAAGGCATTTTGCTGCTTCCTCCTTACAATAGAAATGTGCATAGAGGCTGTCTAGACATAAAATGGATGGGGAACGATCCACAGATTCCTACTATTCAGTTGCGGAAGCATTCGGTTTAGAGAAGCTTTTTTTAGCGAACGCTGTTTTACCAACCCCACTTTATCGAATCCCTTTATGGAGAAACCCAGTTTAGAGAAAATGGGGCGAGTTAACATTTTTGTAATGAGCCGCTGTGAAGCAGCGTAAACGCAGGGGTGCGGGTGTGTTAACACGCGCGAAGCAGGGAAGCCTTTTTTAAACAGCATTCTTTTTCGATAAAGGGAGTTTCTCTAAAGTGAGACTCCGCTTTCTCTAAACCGAGGTTCGATAATACATGCCTGTTCTTTTGTAATGTAATGGTTCAGTTGTATTGAACCATTACATTTCTAACGAGTAGTCCACTAGATTCTAGACCTCTGGGGAGATGCCTCAGAAGGTTCTAGAGAGTAACCATGTTTTGGTGTTTTCGGTTCTTGTGTTTCAAATGTGGAATACTTTTACTGGTTTTTATCTGAAAATAATTATCCAGTTTCTTTTTGGTGAATATACAAACAAAAGTTTGTCTTTTCCTGTGATATGTGAAGTATCTTCATTCAACCCAAGGCCATATATATTGTATTTATTTTGCACTCCTCTTGTGATCACTGGGCAAGGAGGATAGAAGGGCAGGAGAGGGCATGACGTCGGCCGCGTAGCCTCCACAAGCCATGCTCCCTCGACACCTTGCCTCTTTCTCATTTTCCTCCTTATTCTCCTCACTTAGCAGCCCAACATGACCACATCACGTGACCGCAGCTAGCCTTCGTCTAGCCTTCGATCTGATAAAACCTACCAGACAGAGTGTGCGCAAGCCTGCAAGGAATCGTTCTAGAATCAACCATCCACCTCGCACGTGACATGTCACGTGCACCAATTGCCAGAGAGATCTGCAGTCACGTTGGCCACAACATTGTTTAAACTTTTTATGACTAGGCTTCACCAATATTGCAACGTGCCCCCTCCTAGTACTTCTAACCTCCTTGTCACTGGGTGAGTAATATATACTTGGGGATAGCTTTTCTTGGCAGGGAAGCCGAAGCGTGCGGTCTTCAGTTCTTTGGAAATGCCAGGAAAAGTCGTCCCCAAGTATAGTTTGGTGGTGGCGTCACCCAACTGAATGCAACTAACACAAGGAAGGGTAACATTGACAATCAAAAAGGACCTAAAATGTGAAGCCGTACAGATGTATAGCTTTGCCATATACCATTCGAAAAGATAGACCATATTCAGTTAAAATCAAATTTTGAAATTGATTTTTGAATTTTTTTGTAAGTTTGAGTTTAAAATGAAAACACCGATCCCTGTGTGTAGCCAGTCAGGAGACTGGTTCAGTAATGAAGTAAGCAAATGCATTACAGACTGGCATCACGTGGAACGAGCTTGTACAGCAGATACGTAAATTGTGAAGCTTTGCATTCTGGTCTCAATATTTAAGTATTTATGCTTTCAGGTACCTTAAAAGTATTTGTGGATCCTACTTGAAGGGGAGCTGTACAGATAGTAAAATAAGAGTACTGCCTTGAGCAAATATATATAGTGACCACAGTAGATCTTGTACTGTAAAATGAGCTGGAAAAATAGGTTGCCTACACATGGAAAGCTCAAACTTTCATTGAATCTGCATTGAGCTGGTGCATCTTAGCTGATGGAATTTTAGGCCATAGCTCCTTTTCTGTGAAAAATGAGACCAAAAAGCTTGCCAGGGTCATTGGCGAATCTGGGTCTGCAGTCTCATCCGATGTTTGTAACGTGTGGTGCCAACTCCCGATAGACTTGGCAAGCAGACGACAAAGTGTGTCATCTCCTCGTTGCACATATTGGGACATGGCGCTATGCATAACAAGCATCGCTTATAGCATCCTTGATCATCTGCACCGGTGCACCGATGTGTGCCCCGTCATCTTCCATGAAGTGCACCGGTGCACACTGGGCATCCTCGGTCAACGGAGTGCACCCTCCTGGTGCGGCTTTTCGTTGCCCCAAAGCGCACCAAGAAAATCGATGGTGCGCCGGGGTGCAGTCCCCGGCGCGCCGAGGACTGCACTTTGGAGAAGATGGCGGGAATAGCAGACGCACAATCTATCGAGATGGCAACCTTTTGAAAATGTACACACCTCGCAGAGGCACTCGATGAACTCCTTGGCTCTTCCGACAGCGAAGACGACGAGATTCTTACTATCGCCACGAATACTGGTGATTGCTGCATTGGCAAGAAGTGCTCGAAAGTTATGAACTTCGTGGAAAGCACTGCGAGGCATTTCGATGACACCTAAGGTACAGTTATTATCTGGTGCTACTCTTTCTTGAACCAGCAATGATGAGCTAAATATACCTGTGAAATTATCACCTGCTTTGTGACCCCATCGGCACTCTCGGAGCAGTCAGCCAGCCAACCAGACAGCCATAGCCTTTTGATCAAACACTTTCACATTTTTAGCTGCACTATCTCTTGACCCTGCCAAGTTTGTTGGTCTAATTTTTTTTACAAAAAGGGAGTTAGGGGTTAAAAATTTATCAGCTAAAATACACCGGTTAATGCACATTCTTTGAAAGTTAGAACTTTCTATGTGCAGGTACCGATTTTTCTGGTTCGTTTTACAGGGCAAAAATTATATACAAGGTAACAGACAGGTCGATAAATTATAAGATGCGTGATAGAAGGTACAGCAGCAACCTCTCGAAATCGTAATGACCGTGTTAACGAGTGCATACTATCACGAAATGTAATTGTACTCTTGCATTCCATCATTTGTTAACCACCAAACCGCAATTTACTCTCTTATTTCACAACTTCCAAACTATCAAACCGCATTGAGAAGAAAAAACAAAACTCTCCAAAATGTCCTGCCACGCTCTTGGACGCACTGAGATTACGGAGCACGCACACTACTTAGTGACAGGGTGGGTAATTTATCACACGTAAAACGGCCCCGAACCTCACGTATGAAAGGTCGGGGTAGCTGGATGTGAATGGATTCGAACCCAGAACCCTGAGACGCACAACACCACGCAAACCGAAGGCGCCTCATTCCACTACACCACGGCAGCAAACGAAGACGTGAAGGAATTTCGACGTATGATAACCTGATAAGCTACGTAGGTTAGGATAGACACCACATTGATTGTTCCTGGCGTACTAAACCTGTGTTCGAACCAATGCGATTCCTCTCACCCCTTCAGACAGCGGTCGAGAGTTGACGAAGCGGTGTTTGATTTTCGGTTTGAAGTTTACAGAAAATAGTTAATAGCAGTCACACCTGTCACACCTGGTCACACCGTGATACGTATTGATACGATGATATAAACAGCATTCCGCAGAAATAAACCGCAGCCCGCACGACCAGACGAGCAAGTAGGGTTGGCCAGGATTGGCTGCGTTCCTGGCATGCCCTCTAAAAAGTATTAAAAAAAAAAAAGCGATGAGCGAGTTAAATTAATTTGTGAGATACGTGGATAGGTTTTCGCAGGCTTTTTGAGCGCCAAGGGGCCAAGGCGCCAAGGTACAAAACTTCGAGTAAATTTTGGGACTCGGCCCTTGACCCCAGACCCCAGTCCCCAGTTGCTACCGCTGCGGCGCTGCCCCCGCCACAACAAGGCGCTGTGGCTCTGGCTGTGGTCGAAACCATTGAGATCAGTGGTCGAAACGAAATGAACCGTTGATGGGGTTGGCGGGAGGTAAAAATGTTTGATAAAAAAGTAAATACTTTTTTGTAAGCGTTGTGTGTTCTCATTGTATAATCATGAAGACTCTTCTATCGTCTCAGTACCATAAAGCGATGACAAAAGACCGTAATAAAGTTTCACGGCGGGTCTGGCCTTGCTAGCACAGCAGACGACACGACACGATGGCTTCGCGGGTTCAGCGGCTCTTTCCGAGGGAGTACGCGACTGCGTTGAATGAAGTTGGTGACGACGAAACTTTTATTCGCGAGGTCGACTTCCTGTGGGACTGGGATTTGGGAAGCGAAGAGTGCCCGCGCAGAGCTTTGATCGACGCTGGAGGTGCACGAACGCCTTCCTGTGGAGCGCTTCCGCAATATTTGAGAAGGTGAAAAGCACCGGTGTAGAAAAGTGTAGGGCAGTGTACTTTTACAGCCGAGGTGTTAACAGCTAGTTTTCCCAGGAACGTGTCCGCCAACAAATAAATGTCGCCACAACACTGTCTACCGCCATCTACGAGCGACGGCGGATGAAGCCTGGAAACAAGCCAAAATAAAACTAATCTACAAAGGAAAAGATAAAGACAAGAAATCATTAGACTCATACAGGCCGATAACAATACTAAGTAATGTTTACAAACTCTTTGCATCAATTCTGCAAGACAGACTGCAGAGACTCTGTGAGAAAGCCCACCTTTTCAGCGAGGCACAGAATGGATTCCGTAGGAACCGGCGGGGCAGCGACAACTTATTCACTGTCACACAACTAATAGAGCTAAAAAAATCTAGATAGGTCACCACTCTATCTGGCTTACCTTGACTTGGAAAAGGCCTATGATGCAGTGCCCCATGAGAAGATGTGGACGAAGTTAGAAGCGATGGCACTGGATGTTCAGACAGTATCGCTCTTCAGAAACATGTACGCCGGATGCAACGCCAGATACACTTTGGGAGAACATTTATCAGGGCAGGTGAACATGATTGTGGGTCTGCGCCAAGGCTGCCCCCTTTCTCCAACCCTGTTCAACATCTACATCAACAATCTCATTCTGGAGCTGCAAGCCAAAGGGCAGGGTGTTTCTTTCACAACCATTACCTCATAATGACATGGAAACAACTTATATTCCAGTACTGGCCTTTGCTGATGATATACTCCTGTTATCAGAGAATGAAACTCACCTTCAAGACATGCTCGATATCATGCACTCGAATGGGATTCAAATTCAGTAAGGAAAAATCAAAGTGGATGGGCTATAACATGTGTTGTATAACCTTTGTAAAACATATTAAAAAAGTTATGGTGCCGTGAAAGGTTCGATAAGGAAATGACGACTGTGCAAAGTAGCATTGTGAAATCTTCTCAATTTCCACACCTCAAGCTTCTCTATTTTGTATCTCAGCGAAAAAAATTGTTACGGCGTTCATATCTAGCTGAATGTTCCTCCCAAAAACATGGCTTTCATATATATTTTTAACAAAAATATCTAAATTATGACCCGGACCATCATTGCGTGAATTGACGTGGAATCACCCCCTACACTTTTCTGCACCGGTGCAGGAGATGCAGGTAAATCGAACGAGCCTTCCGTAGGTTTGTTGAGCTTTCTTTTACAAGGGAGGTGGAAACCCTGCGAGTGTGGGTCATGCTATCTCATTAACTCGCAACGTTTTGTGGCTATCGATGTGTGCTAGTTGTTGTTCTGTGTAAAAGCTGATATATATATACACATAGAATAAAAAGAAAATCTCACAAAAGTTTAAACTTGGAAAAAATAGCTCAACCCCCCCCCCCCCCCCCCCCCCCCACACACACACACACACACAAACAGAAAAACAAACATGGGTGGGTATTGCTTAAACGCAGCCCACGCTACGAGCTGATGGGACCAATCAAGCAGCGTCAAAAGTGCAAGTCACTGTGCCTTTGATTGGTTCAGTGATGATAGAACACCTACAGAAACATGACAAACAATACGACTGTGCCCTTTTGACAGAAATCGGGAGTTTTGAAAATTCACAAGTTTACCGTAACGATCCGGCCCCGTAGCAGAGCCCGAGCTGTTATACACATTTTAGTATTAATAAGGTCAAACCGTGATTTGGTGCAATGTTGGTGCAAACTTATCACATCTTGGCAAAATGTAGCAGGATGTAGTGGGGAAAGCACTTTGGAGCAAATGGTGCAACAACCACATCACTGCAACAGCATGCTAAGGCTTCCAAGAACGGCGGAGTCGCTTTTGGGACTGGCTTGGCTCGGCTCATGTTGATGTGGCCTCCAATCAAGGTCTGAAATTCTGCTACCCTTATGCTGGTCTTGCCCCTCCTTTTCTGCAGGATGGCATTAATGTCCATCCCTGCTCCAAGTATAATGATTTCTGAAGTCGATGTGCTCACTGCTTCTTCATCCTGCAGCTCACAAGATGTAAAGAGCAGCTTACCTCGGGCGTTATCTTGTAAAAAGATTAAAACATGTATGGATGAAGACAGACAGTGCAGTTCTTTCGAGGTAATTTGTTGTACGGATTACCATCAAACGGATTACCATGAGATGAATTACTATGAAACGGATTACCATACAACGCATTACAAGGGTATCCGGATAACGAAAGCTCGTCGACGTCGTCCAATGAGAAACACACTCCTGCCTCAGTTTTCCGTTTCCCTCGTCGACGTCGTCAAAAGAGAAACACACTCCTGCCTCAGTTCTCCGTTTCCCTTTCTGCTTTCAACTAGTTGCCTAACCTGTTTTGTTTACCCCTCAACCCCAGCTAGATAGTTCCCATATCAATGTGCGTCTAAAAAAAATGGTAAAACCTTGAATTGTCAAAGAAGTATAGACGGAGCAAACGGAACAAAAGTCAGGACTAAAATGAGAACACCTTCCAGTGACATAGCGAGATGAAAAAGGACTTACAAAGACGGGGAGAGCACAGGCGAGCTTAAGGTACTTCATCATATCGTGGGGTTTAGCACAACGCAATAGCAAAGGAAATTTTTCCTGCATAATGCAAGTTCCGCTTGATTGTTTGCGTCTGAAAGCTGCACCTCCCTACAATGGCCACTTTCACAAACATAAAGTTGGCATGCAAGTCGCACCTTTGTCACGCTTTTATGCTTGTACGGTTAAAGTGGCAAAGCTGGAAGCCCGCATATGTGTATTGTGATCGTGAAATATACTCAGGCAGGAGTCAGTCTCAATACCCTTGCCAACGAATTGAACGCTGCAAATTTCTAAAGTTTAGGCTAATACTTGTAGAAAAAAAACACTTAGAAGTTGCACTGTTGTATCAGATGCAACGAAGGCAATTTCAGAAACAAACCGCAACTTATATACCACCAGGAAACACGGTAGTAGCCAAGGAAAACACAGGGGGTACGAAAAGTAACAACCAGGACACAGAAGGTTTGAGAATGTCACAGAGTTTGGCAGATTGGTTTTTTAATTTCCGTCGCCCCACCCTCCCCCGGCGCCCCGACGAAACGCGGTGGCAGCACTGGAGCAGGGCGTCGGCGAGCGAGGAAATGTCGTTGCCGCTCGATGTAAAATTGCAAAAATACCTCTTCCCCCAGACTCCGGTTGAGGGGTGTCCCCTCTCTTCCCGTTAATTACAGAAACAAACAAACCAACAAAAAATCTTGTTTTCGTGTCTTAAGTTAACTTGGGGTAGCTGCTATTTCCCTAGGATGGTGTCCCTGATGGCGTCGACGTACTGAGCGGGAACCCAGTAGATCCAGTACCGGGAGGCTTCTGTGGTGCCCAGCTGCAAGGCCTGCAAGGTGCGACACAAATCGTTACCACGCTGCCTCAATGCATCTTCGACAACTGTGTCATCCTGCCGGCGCATCCAAACCGGTTACCGAGTGGCAAAGAGTCTCTCGACTTGCAGCCGAGGAACCTTTTCCGGACTCGGCATTTATGCGGGAAAACAGTTCCTACAGGCCCCATAATTAAGCACATTATGGGCAGACGAACGGTCCAGTACTCCTAAACAATTTGCTTAGGATCAGGGATGGTCAAAGGAATTTGGGAGCTTGTAGAACCCCAGAGGGAATTCTTAGGCGTCATTCACGCGACCATTTTTCCCCCCGTCCCGGCGGGAGTGACGGGCGTTGTTCCCACCGGGGAAGTGTTTTCGGACCGGTTAAGACCCAAATCACGCCACCGGACCTGAAGTTCGCCGGAAGACAATGTTCTACGTCACCGGCGCCGACGGAAGACGGGCGGCGCCGGAGTCCCGCCTTGACAGGAGAAGACCAGTCCCAAATTGGGAAACGTTCGCTCAATCTGGCGGATTCTCAAAAGTTGGGTGACCCTGGGCATGGCCACGGGAGGGGGGGATTGACTGAGCTGTGCCCCGAGGACAAAGCCAATGGAGCTCTTTTGGGGAAGGAGTGGGACGATGCGACTTTCGAACGACGGGTGTACAAAAATTTGAATTTACCGCTGAGGTGCTGCTCCAAATGGTAAGACCATATCAGTTCCTTTACGATAGATGTTAATGCAATTTTAAGGAAGAACAGCCAAAGTAAGAAAATATGATGGTCGATCATCAGGGAAAAAATGTGGCAAAACGAGTGATTGATGTGAAATGTGCTCGCAGTAGGTCTCGTCGTTTTTGTTCCGAAAAGTAGAGACAAATAAAATGTTTTTTCAAACCTGCAAGATTGTTATCGCCGACCTAAACACATGCTCCAGGAAACAAAACAGTTGTGGCGGCGCCCATCGACGCCGATCGTCCGGTCCGCTACATTTGGTGATCAGGGCCGCCCCAAAGAGGGTGTTACAAGATTGGTGGTAGAGATTGAGGGAAGTGTGAAACTGCGCACGAAATTTGGGTTATACCGATTATACAGTCTTAAAGGATACAAATGTTTAACACAGAATTTGAAAGGTGCAGAAAGGTTTCTAGGCTAGGTGGCATCCATCCATTCATGTAGCCACTGCCAGCAGCTCCGTCGCCGCTGGTTCGAACACTCCACCGTCCCAATGCTTGCACCGGGACGGGGCGAGGAGCCGGCTGAGTGAATGAGGCCTACGAGACCCCCAAGTTTTTAGGAACCCACTTTGAGTATTCAAGGCTCAAAGCACGGCTCTCCAAACCCCGGCCCAAATCCGGCCCTCGGAGGCATTCTGACCGGCACATGACTGGCCGCAGTCTTTGCAGTGATGCCCAGTATGCCTCCAGCAGGCCCGGCGGAAAAATAAGCGCGCACCAAACGCGCAAATTAAAATACCAGAAAGAATGAGAAAAAACTGCAACATTAATCGGGTCCTCTCATCATTTCATTCACTGCACACTGTCTTCACCAGCATCACCATCCTTAGTCCCCGTCCTATATCTCTGAGTAACTACACTTAAATTAATTTGCACTATCCTGCATAGTGCACTGTGTGAGCTGGCCAATGTTCTATGATTGATGTCTGGTGAGTTCCCTGTGTTACAATTATTATTAAATATAATATTTTAAATATTAAATTACAATGTAACTAACTGACACAACAAGGTGACTGGTGTGCGAGTGAATTTTTTTTTTTCCATTCGTGCACCAGTTATTGCTCTTTTAGGGATTATTATTATCATTCTTGTCCAGCTTGCTGCACCTTTGCATTAACTGCCTTAACATCATAACCTTAAAATGCAGGCTGTTCACCTTTGTTGGTGTTAGACTGGTGGCAGCTGTTAAAACCTGTTTGCTCTACTGACGCCTAACTCCTAATTAGCTCAGTTGGGACTGCTCAACTGAAAATGGAGAGGTCCCTGGTTCGATACCAGGACCAGATGGATTTTTTCAGTCACGCACCAGTCATCTAGTTGTGTACAGAAATTGGTGTTGTGTTTTGTTCCCCCCTTTATCCAAAAATTATTGCGATAAATCCAGTCTTCATAAAAATCAAATTAAATAATGCCTTACGAGTGCAGTGCGTGTGGTTTTGTGGTGTGTCCATGTGTGTGTGTGCAGCCATATGTGCATTTTTATGGGTCCTTGAAGAATTCTCATACCTTTTACTACCAACTTGTTCAAGGGGGGACACAAACCAAAAAAAAAAAAATTTCTGCAAAAAAAAAAAAAAAAAATAATTTGAAAAAAGTTGTAATTAAATCCATCAACATCTAGAGAGTATTTTCAGAAAGTTTCATTTATTAACAGAGCATAGTTATTTTTTTCATAAATTATTTTCAGTCCACCGATGCGAAAGAAAAGATAGAGGTTTGTGCACTTTCAACATGCGTTTCTCCATTCCGCTTTTTATCATAAATTTCCCTTTAGGAAAACTATCATTTGTTAATAGGACAAGAGAAAAGAGTCACTCATTGTTGTTCCTAACTGGACTTTTACGGGCAATGCAAGTGTGGAATTGTTTTTTTACTTTGTGGATGTCTTTTATAAAAGATGTTAATATTTTGCAACGACATAAAAAGCAAAAAAAATTATTTGATCTTTCACTGCAATGTTAGCATAAAAAAATTACTTTTTGGAAATTTTGTTTTCACAGTTGCACTTTCCAGGCATTCCGCTGCACATCTAGAGTAGAAAAATGTTAGGTATTACAATAGTTTCCTAACGATAGCTTTCCTAAACAAAGTGGGTATGCTCCTGATAAAAATGACTAATTTATTTACAATTCATGTACAAAAATGAAACTCTGCACTGCATTCTGCCTCAGAACTGCCAGTATATGCTGTGAATTTCATTCATATTAATCCATAGGTTCAAAAGTTGACCCTGTTGGGTAGTGTCCCCCCTTAAAGCGATGGTGAACCGAAATTCGGATTTCAGAAAAAAACAATGCAGGAGATGTAGGCGGGACGCTACAATCCCTACAACACTACTCGCAAGGCGATATCTCAAATGGACGGCCGTATTTTTGGAAAAAGAAGTCGAGATTGAACCAGGCCGGCGAGACGCATGACCGTCAAGATACCTAGTTTCCTCCTCTCTTTGCTTCGCTCCCTCAAGGCGGCGAGGCGGAGAAGACGCGAGGCCGTTCCCTCTCCTTCTCGGAGAAACATGACGTCAACACTCCTGCCAAATGCGCCTCTTTTTTGAAAAATATGGTCATCTGTTCGAGATATTGCTGTACGAGTGATGTTTTGGTGTTTGTAGCACCCCGTTGCACGCTTTTGCCGCGCGTTTTGGGGAATCCAGATTTCGGTTCAGCATCCCCTTAAACCAAAACGAAGCCTCACGCTCCCAAGAACAGGAATTAGCCCAGAAAGTTGGGCAAGACTGGCTCTATTTGGAGACCCGCTCACCATTATGTGGTACTCCTCGTGACCCTCAATGGCTTCGCTGATCACCTGCTTGATTGAGCTCATGTTGATCTTTTCCGTCCGCTCTGCAAACCCACATAGAGGAATGCTTTGAAATGGGGCAGCCTTACCTGGCATCTATACCGACATTTTGGACCGAAAATTTCTAAAAGGTGGCGCAAAACGCTCCAGGCACAGAGCTCAATCTGTAGCTCTCTCTAAGGCTTCGAAACAACCAAGAATATATTCAACTAGCACACTGCTTTGGTTTCAGTGCTTAAGCCTTCCACAATTCCACAGCAGAACATCTTGCAAGTATTCAATTTTTTTTGGAAAAAATTCTTCACTACGTAAGTATCTCAGACAAGTATACAAGCATTAAAAGCACGCTCCAACTCCGCTTCACAACACTAGTATTTATTGCAGAGCAGGGGTCCAAACTTTTTGACCTTGGAGAATGTTATCTATCTGGATAGCCAAGGAACTCCACTTTATGTCTGCACCGACGCAATACAACGGCGTAGAAGCTTACGGACCTCGCGAAACAATAATGCCCACACTGGGACCGTCTTGCACATTGCTTCTGCATCAATAGATGGCCCGGATTTTCCAAAATAGCACTTGAACCTAAAGAACTTGGGAAGAGGAGCGACCCCGAGGGTTTTCTTATAAAGTGCTGGGTTCCTATAACTCTATTCACTTTGTGTTCGGATGCAACTGATGTTACAAGCAAACGGGACCAATCAAACAGAGTCAAAAGAGCACCGAATCACTGTTCGTCATGTTTCTGTACGAGCTCTATCATAACTGAACCAATCATGTACAGGGAAGGCCCAGTGTCTTGCGCTTTTCACGCTGTTTTGTTGGCCCCATCAGCTCGAGACGTCAGCTGCGTATGAGAACCTGGGCAATAGGGAGACTCTACTCTAACAAGGAATGATTCGTATGTCACTTTTTGCTGAAACATTTTTAGCCCAGTGATGTAGTTAACGAGGAAAGACGGTGCATTCGTAGCTCTTGGAACTTCTGCAAAAAACCTGCAAAGGAAGTCCAGCGGACAAACCTTTTGTGCCGATCCAGATCTGATCCAGTTCCAGCTTGAACGTGAGTCTGACTTTGCCCCCCGACTTGTTCACCATCCCAGAGAGCGGAACGTCTGGGAGACTGTCCTACGGGAACAATGGTGATAATGTGAAAGGTGCATTGGCTATGCAATAGTCGATGCCAACTCCGTTTTGGCAGGCCTACAACAAACATTTTTTCAGTCAAAACTAAAAATTCCATCCTTTTTGCCTGCATAATTTGAGACAAAAACACCCATTTTGGGTAATTTATTCTGAAATAGTACAAAAAAAAAATAGTAGGTCGTCAAAAAAATTATTTAAAAAATATATATGTTAGCGGAAAATGTGTAGAACAAAACTGCCAATTGGAACTATGAAAACAAGTTTGTTCTCGAGGTTTTGGTTTAAGAGTTTTGCAGCTTTCACGAGTCACACATTTTGAAGTCTCGAAACGTTTAGATTCTTCCTTTCAAAGCAATGATAACATTTTTTTTTTACTTGTCTAAAACTTTGTATAAAGGGGTTAAAGTTCTCTAGAGGTGTGTTTTTAATTTTATTTTATGAAATAAAAATTCTTGAATCTTGCGCATTTGACAATAATGGACCAAGTTTGAATCGAGCTAGATTTTGATTTACAATTATTAAAGGTATAAGAAACATATCGAAAAAAGCTTGTTTCTAAGCCCATCTAAAAATTATAATATTGTAAATTTAAATATAGTTTATATAGAAGAAACAACAGTGTAAACTTGAGAAGAAAAGTGAAAAATACACAATTCGGCGTCACTTTAAGAAATAGATATATTTCTTTGACATACTGTAAACGACTCAATTTTCGCGAGGACCTATTTTTCTTGAATTTCGCGAATCGCCTACAATTCGCAAAAAATATGTCCTGCTAACAATTCGGGCAATATCTGAACGCTATAGAAGCTACACTCGATTCGCGAAAATTAGAACCCGTGAATGATTTAAAATTTTCAGCTTTGGCCCGATTTGCGAAAATTTGAGCCCGCAAAAATTAAGTCGTTTACAGTATATGGTTTCGTCATATTGCCAGAAGCGTCGACCTGCGAGCACGTGCGTGGCCTAATGGTTAGCGCACTTGACTCTCCCGCGGAAAGCCTAGGTTCGATTCCAGGTGGTGGAATGTCCTTTGGTTTATCCTTTCAACTTGGTGTTCTCGTAAGTTTGAGAACATTCTCGTATGATCGGGTTTTGATTGTTCTACGCGCCGAAAGTTCTACACCGAATGATCCAGAAACCCACGAGGGTACATAAGGGACTCCGCAAGGCGAGTGGAGTCAGTCTCGCCCCAGCGTACGATCCTGCTGTTACGACGCCATCGACGCCCGCAAAGCTCTGCTGTTACCTTTCGTTTCCTTTCTGTTTTAGGCACAGTTCGCCCCATTAAACGTTTAGTTTCTTCAGTTATCATCGCATCATCAATCGTCATTCGTGACAATACTAAGGAGTTTGTTTGAAAAGAAGACCTATTTGTATTTCCATTCTACGACGCATATGTCCATCATTTACTTTTTTTTTACTTAAATGTCAATTATTTTTGTAACATGATCATACTTTTTATTGGTTTCCAAACCATACGCAGTTCAGTAAAACTTGTACATTGATAGTATTTATAGCATATGATTAGGAGCTCTTCTGCACATTCAGTTTGCTTACTTAGTAAACTACAGAAATCGAAACTGTCGCAGTGTTTAAGCTTTGTCAAATGTGATTAACAAACATACTTAGGACGGCAATAATAATCCCTGAAGAAGGGGAACAAAGGGTACAAAGGACAATCACAAACCTTCAAACACAGCTATAGGTGACTGGCGCGCAACCGAAAAAATGGAACGTCGCCCGTAGATGGCGGCAAGCTCTCCAGCTATCATAGAAGAATGGATAGTTGCGCGCGTTGGTGGGAATTCATCGTAGGAAACAGTGCGGAAAACAGACCATGACAAAGAAGAAACACAAGTGACGAGCGGAGCGCCCGTCCCGTGTGTTTCTTCGTCCTTGTCTGTGTCATGTCGGACGAGAAGAAGCGGGAAATTGGTGCGTGCGTGTTGTGGATGTATCGAGTACGGCTTCGCTGGTCTTCCTTCTTCACGAGTGGAAAGGCTGAAAGTTTTTTTTAGAGAACTTTGATCCTTCTATACCATGTTTTAAAGCAGTAACCTTCTATGGTTCCAATTAGGAACTTGCTGAGTGTCATCAGAAACCACTATATCAGTAATTTGCAAAAGACTTCGAGCGCGCGAGAGCGTAGTAGTGCGCCAATGTTACTACTCATCGAGCAGGTACAAGGCTGGGGCTCTGATATGACGGAAAAATCGCACGGGCCCCTCATCGCAATTGCTAGCCTTTTACCCGCTCCACAAGTGCTAACCTTAGAGCACTACTACGCTTCCCACGGGTTCAAAGTCTTTCTGAAAATTACTGATTTAGTGGTTTCCGATGACGCTCAAAAAGTTCCCGATTAGAACCATATGTCTCTCTTCACTAATTAAAAAGATAATTAGTTATTTTTAATAAATTAGCAAAGTAATTAGTAAGTATCGCACATTTTCTAATGTCCGCTACCGCGAGTAATGCGGTCCCGAGAAAATTATCTTTTCACCTCGAATACACTTTGTTTTAGGAATATTTGTCAGTCCTCGCTGAAACACCCGGTATATATGGGCTTATAAGCCTCGGTCTCGGTGGCAGACAGGCCCATGGTGGCATGCTCTTTCCCGGGGGCAGTGCAGTCAAAGGCAGAAGCACCATGGAGGGCCTCACCTTGGCGTTGCGAATGCCCGGGATTGCATCTTCTGGGACGCCCTTGTCCAAGACCTTTTGATGAAGCTGCGGCACCGGACAGAAAGCAAACGACCACACTCTATTAAGGCCGAGGCTTCTTTTGGTTTAGCCTAAGTCAAAGAATTACTGTAAACAACTTAATTTTCGTAAATTTCTGCAAAGTGTAACTTTCCGGAGTATTTTGTGGGCACGGAATTTCACAATTAATTTTTCACCACGGAGCAATGTATTCATGCGATGCATTTTCCGCAATATTTTTTAAATCACAAAGTTAGGTCATTGCAAAAGTTAAGTCGATTACAGATTGCACAAATAAATCATGTTGCAAAAATCATAGGTCACTGCAAAAGTTAAGTCGATTACAGTATGCACAAATAAATCATGTTGCTAAAATCATTGTCAATCCAATAAAAGAATTTGAAAATACCAATTCAAGGTGCAGGTTTAAAACTCTACAGTACCACCTACTGAACACAATGCAATCACCTTTAAAATATGCACGCCCATTCCTGTCCAATTTTAAAAGCCTAACTTATTTTGCAATCCATTTTTGTAACGTCTGGGCCAGTCTAAAAACGTGATTTGAAATTTCCAGTCACTTCAAAATCTTTTGTGTGGCGAAAAGTTCTAAAACTCTTCGTTCAGAGAAGGACCGCTTGGTGCAACACCTGGGCTGAATGTGGTGAATTCGTAGCAACCAATTAAGTGAGGAATAGAGTAACTATATGCTCCGCTTGCGGAACAGGGTATCACAACTGCCTCAAATCTTGGCCTCCAAGTACTGCAGGAAGCGACCATTGCTCATGGAGGAGACTTGACGGAGGCCACAACACAAGGTGGCAATTCACCACGCATGTACCAGCAGCGCTGTCGTCTATCTCCCAAAACCCCCAGAAGCACATGCGTGCGATGTGTCCATGCTGTGTTGCCCGCCTGCTCATGGCCGCTTTATAACCATGCTGTCATCTCTGAGCAGCGCTGCAAACTAAGCTCTGACTAAGCTCCGACTAAGCTAACTAAGCCTGGGTCGTCTAAAACAATCAAGGCGAGAGGTAAGGTGTGCACACGAGCTACACTCGTCCTAAATGGTTGGGAGGCAGCTCTAGGTGGAAGAGCTAGGCTTGACCAAAATGGTTAAGGGGCTACACTGCGCTTCCCTTATAGAAATAATGCAATTACACTTGTTTAAGTGGCCCCCACAATGTCCAAAAGTTCAAGGAGCTTCCTGCTCGTCACTCTGCAATGCAAGATCTAGTAGGTTTCGCAAATGCAGAGCGAAAGAAATGCCCCGCCCCAAATGTGGTGCTTGGCAGGCCACTTCCCCACATGCACTTTGGGCACATTTGGCGCACGTGACCCCTTCTCTGCCAATGAGGAGTTGCCAGCAAAGGCAAAAGAGAAGGCAGTACTCTCGCTCCGCCATTTGGTTAGTCTAGCGAGAAGGACTGTTTTGAGTCGGAAAACTGCTGAAGATGATTGTCCGAAAGACTAGACTGAAAATAAGAAATTTGTCTTCGATCCCAGCTTTGCATTCTAATGACTCATCTAGCCATCAATTTGTCACTTCAATCTCAATGCATCGAAGTTAGGGTGACCACCCGTCCCGCAACTCGCGGGACTGTCCCGCATTGAGGGCTCATGTCCCGCGTCCCGCGACAAATTGCCAAATCTTCAAAATGTCCCGCATTTGACAATGTCGTAAAATTCACTCCGCAACTCATGGTGCTGCCGAACAACGGGGCACGGGGAAGCGCGCAGGTTGCTGGTAATCGCGTGAATCGCAAGGGTACTCGATTTTCTATTCAGGCATTGCGGGAAGCGACTGTTGTTCTTGCAGGAGATTTGAAGCACAAGCACCGTTGCACCTTTCTCCTTGGTGGCAAAATATTGTAAGGTTCCTACGTCTGAAGAAAATTGCCCCGCAAAAGTTTAAATTTAAATTATTGTAATTATCTTCATACCGTTCTGTCAATGCGAAACGGTTGTGTGAAAGTTCTTTTTAGTAAAGACAGCCACGCAAGGCAAAAAGCCTGCAACTCACAGCGGTTGAAAAAGAACCTAATGTTAAAAATGTGTGTAGAACCACGTTGATAAAAGTAAGCGTTGACCGGAAGTCACGACGCTCGGAAAAGCACATAATGTTAAAAATATGTGTAGGACCATGTTTATAGAAGTAAGCGTTGACCGGAAACAACAACCCGAAAAATATTTGCTGTTTCTTAATCTTTCTCAATTAAAAAGGTGGTAATTTTTGGTACATCACCAATTTCATTAATTCATGTGGTGCTTTGAGTAGTGGTGCAGTTGATTTTTAAGCTGTCAATTTCGACACCTTTAAAAACATCTTTGAGCTTAATTGCCGCAATACAATTTGGAAGTGTATAAACAGCACATGATATTAAATGTGTTAACAGAGCCTCGGTTCGTGCTGCGCGTGTTCATAAATTTCCTCTCCTCTCTCCCCCCCCCCCCCCCCGTTTCGCGTGTCCCGCATTCCGCTAGCAGGAAGGTGGTCACCCTAATCGAAGTGCAGAAACTACTAAACTGAGTCTTGTGGCTTTCGCTTTTAGCACTCCCCGATGTTGACAATGAAGACAGGTTTCCGCGCCAAATGAACCACAAGACGAAAGAGAACTACCTTTTGCTTGCATATTGGCTCCTTGGTGGCTGCAAAACAGTAGAAAGAAAGAACTATAAGAGGACAAGCACCGCTAGCCACTTTTTCCACATATGATTTGAAGAAGGTCTCTCATAGAGCAGCTCCTAACACCCCAGACTGGGAAGAACAAAAAAAAACACAAAAAACATAAATAAATAGACACCCCAACCAGTCAAGCTTTGCAACACCGCATGATGAGTCAATAATTACCGATACACAGCCAGTTTTGTACAAAAAGTATCCACCGAGTTTCCCGCATTATTCAAAATAAAATCGAGTGACCGACTAAAAAATTGCCTTACTTTTTTTTCTCACGTACTCAACTGGGTAGCACGCAGTTATGAGACGAACTCACATTGTGAACCAAATCTCGAAAATTAAAGTTCCACTGCATCCTCGGATAGGACATGTGGGACGCAAAATGCACTCCCCTCCTGTTCCCCCAAAGAAAAGATAAACGCAATCTTTGAGTATTGAGGAGAGCGTGTTGACAATAACATAAAAATAAGAAAACGTCTGCCTTCTTCTGCATGCCATTGGCTGAAAGGAGCACGGAAGAGAGGTACATCCTGTGCACAACTTTGTACTGCACCTCGGCCCTTACAGATAAGGAAACCAAAAGGATTTTGTGGCTTATTACAATTATTACGAAGACCTTTTAAGGGCTGGAGGAAACCAAAGGTTTAGGTAGGTAAAAGAATTGGCCAAGCAGCCTTTAGGAAACCCAGAAATAAAAATATTAACATTTTTTTAAAGTGCATAAATAGATATTTCACAAAGTAAAATTTTCATATAAAAAGTAAAGTAAAGCTCCCGGCTAGTCAAACTACTGCTCAATCCCGAGAGGTTTGCTATAAAGGAATTCTAGTGTAGTGGTAGTCCAAAGATGATAACGATACAGTGTAAACTATTTAAAACGGATCTTGATAGTGATGAAGATTTTGGCCTGTTGTAAGAGGAGTACGTAGAAGGCAGAAACCCCCACTACAGACTTTGAGGTGGATTATGACTAGAGTCTGTTCTAACCAGCGAGATTGACATTTACAAACTCTCAAAGAAGGTAGTGTTCTTTTATTGAGCTCGAGTGGTGAGCGACATCACTGCGTGCTTTGGGTCACATGGGGCTCAAAAGGCGCCGAGTACAATGGCAATACCAACTTGCTGTCGGAGTCTTGGACGGCAGTCCGAATGAATATTGCAACAGACTGTGTAGTTACAGCAGTTGGGTCAATGGCACAGCTAAAAAGACTCGAAGAAAGGAAGCATGTCTGTTGCGAGCGTTGTAACGAGGTCGTAACCTCACCCTGCGGTTTGTCGTCCTTGAGTTGCTCAGGCGGCGGGACTTCGAGGTTGAGCACGTCGTCGAGGGTAGAGCCCACCAGCATCAGCTTGGAGCCGCTCGACAGGCCCAGCTCTCGCAACGTCTTGGCATCGTCCAGTTTGGGGGCACCTGCCACATATGGCGCTTGCTTGCAGGCCCGTCAAACGTACACACTCCCCTGCCTGCCAAAGGGCAGTACGTACTGGGTATTTGGGAGGAAAGAGGACTCCATTCTTTTCACTGCGAAAATGAACTCTGCATCCCCCAACATCCGGTCTCCACCCAGATGCAGTACCAGTGTGTCAAAGTTTCCGAATCTGTCGTTACTTCATTAAAAATCAGCGATTTTTGGAAACTTAAAATTAGAAAATGGCGTGTCTTTCCCGTAGCATTCGCCATGTATTTGTACGCTCCGTTGGTAGCCACTTCCTCGTTGAAACGTACGAAAATCGAGAAGAGGTTACGAATTAATAGATAACTGCAAATTCCTAAAATACGCCATTTGCTCCACACAGCTAACAGTACATTTGGGTGGAAACTGAGCACTCGGAGATGCATGGTCTAGTTATGCGGTGAGAAAAACGTGGTTCCCTTTTCTCACTAACAGTCATTATAAATAAATAAAAGATTCACAGCTGTATTTCAATCAATTGTTTGATTCGTCATATGCAGAATTTCCATATACGAGAATCTGTGGGTTTTCACGACGTTTTCTGCTGGCACAGTAGCCACAGTGAAAAGTTGTGATATTTGAGATACATCAAAATGTAGCCAATAAGCTGCTCTTTAGAAGAAAAAGACGTACAGTATAGACCACTTACAACGTAACCGCTTATAGTGCAGGACCGGGTATAGCGCGGTTTTTTTAAACCACCGGTTCGCCTCCCATAGAACTCCATGTAATTGCATACCGCTTAAAATGCAGGCGCGCGATGGGAAATACCGGTTATAGTGCGGTTTCTGGCACAGCCCGCCAACCGCGCCGACGACCGGAGCAGCGAGCACGCTTCCCTGTGTGACACTAGAGCACTATATAGCTCCTATGGAGCAGAGTAGCGCAATCCTTTGAATCCCGTGTTTTGCCGACAACATGGCCGACAGAGCGGTGAGAGCGGCTCGGCGCGAGTCACGTGGTACTCAGGGTTCCAGGAGGCGGCCCACCCTATGGGAGAACACATGGAGATCGACATAACACGGCTGATTAAAAAACTAACGGCGAGTTCACATTTTTCAAAACTAGCCTGTCGTGAAGTTAGTAAAGCGCTAAACATTTTATCAAAGTTTTAATAATATCAGGTGTGTGTGCAAATTTTGCGAAGGCAATTTCCAAGGCAATGGCGTTTGAAGCAGACGATTTTTGCTCGCTGCGGTGATGGGCTTTTCGGGTTGGCCGGAGCGGGTCACGTGAATGGTGTGACGTCGCCGTGTCGTCTGCTGCATGATGCTTTTTAAAAAAAGTTACGTCCTTGTATGGCACAAAACTTATCGCATATTATTCTAAAATGTTTCATTATTATGTCAAAAATGATTTCCATTCCGCACATCCCCACAAAACTGAAGAAACAACGATTTTCCCACGTTCTCCATGCATTTCTGACCGCTGTTGGAACCTCCGGGCGTTCGCCGCCAGTCGCCGAGAGACGGCGTTCTAGATTGTGCTACTCTGCTCCGAACATAGAGATCATACATACTAACTCTAGAGGAAAAGGTCCGCCATTTTCCCATACATTCTGGCTGCCGCAAGCGGCGGATCATGTAGGCAGACCCTCGGGGTCCCAAACACGGTTACATCATCAGAGCAGTTTCGTGAACTTCAACAATCCACGAACTTACCGGTGGAAAGATATTCGCGTTCCTTTCGAAGCTTTCTTTTTGCATAGCGCGCAGATGTACGGCCTCGCGTTAACGCTAAACTAAACCATATACCCGGCTTCGCAAGTGGGGCGCGGGTGGCCGCAGTTGAGGAATACGAAACTGCGCAACCACCAGATTTCCGAGATTTCGACAGAAGGGAAGTTAATGCAGCGTAATGACTTTATTGCTTTTTATAAGCGTTAGAATAGCTCAGAATTTAGTTTACAACGTTAAATTATCACTGTTTATATTGCTGAGAGTTTTCACTCTTCGCGTTTACCATGGCAACGTTGCTTTCTTTCTCTCGTGTTCTGTCGCTCTCTTTTGCGATCGTTCACTCGGGACCCCGGGTGTCGGCGCACGGGATTTGCCACTTCTCCTCACCCACCTTTACCCCCCTGGCTCCGAAGGAGCTATATAGTGCTCTATGTGACACCAGATAACGGCGCTGACGGCGCGAGACGAGCCGCAAGGCCGCAAGCGGCACACGCGGGGCAAGGAGGTTGCTGGAAGAAGCGGGGGAAGCGAAGAGAGAAACTTCAGTTGCCATAGCGACGGAGGGACGCACGCACGTATCGTTCACGTGCGTGCGTCCTTCCGCTGCGTTGGTCGAGGAGAAGTGTTCGCGCGCGTTGCATGCCGGTCGCGCAGCTGCTTCTATCCGCGAACACATCGGTTGTATCGGTTGTGATCGTCGATGTAGACGGCGTTCATCTCATCGCGTAAAAGCGCTATCCTTGACTGTGAATTTTCGTTGTGTGTCGCTATGATAACCCAGCACGTGGGAAGATCCACCTACTCGTGCGACGATGTCGTGGCGGCGCTCTCAAGACGGCAGAAACGCCCGTGTCGTCGTGTTTGTTTACTTCGACTACAGTGGTGATTTCTAAGCATTTGTGTCCTCGAACATCGCCCGGATTTCTTATTTGGCGCATTTCATGCGTGTGCTCAAGTTAAAGGTATTACTGGCGCGTACCGTATGAAGGATGCGAATTTTCACGCGTTTTCGTCTCCGGAGAAAAGTGATTAGGGTTAGCAATCCTGAACGCTCGCTACGTCCGTCCGCAACCCGCGACGCCGTTAAGGGAAGATGCTCCCCGGAAACACTTTTTCTTTAATATTAAACCTAAGGTTTTGAAACTTTGGTCATTGATACAGATTTTAATGTCAATTCCAAATAGGTTCTTAGTTTTTATGTAGCTTTGTTGGTTTTTGTGTAAGAGTGTCTACAAAAACACAATATAGTGCTTTTTGTGCACAACTTTTTGATAAATAAATATATTGTTAGCGCAGCCTGCAATAGCTCATGTTGCTGCTTAGGTAAGGTAGTATGTTGAAAACTACTTGAAATTCATTTATATTATCCTATATTTGTAAAAAAAATCAGGAACACCAAAAGTGTTTATCTTAGGTGCTATGAGTCAACATTTACATTTTTTGCAAAAAATATAGAAGGGATATTGAAAATTCAAATAGATATCAACATTCTACACACTCTGAAGAAGCTGTGTGGAAAATTTCATCCAAATCTAACTATTGTAAGTATTTGAAATCTGTTGCACAATGCGTAAAAAATGCTGAAAACTACAAACGGAGAAAAATGCATTTGAAAGTTTCAAACATCTTCATTTCTCAAAAGCATGACCAAAGCACATGAAACTACTTGATAAAATAAAGCAATATGTCCCAAACACAGTAAAGTTCCTTAGAACTCTCCTGGCGTATACGTTGGCCCCTCAAGATCTTCCAGAGTGGAGTCTGTGAGACGTGCTCTCTTCACCATATTACGGCGATGTGCTCGGGCTTCAGCGGTTTGGCGGGCTGACATTTTTCTTATTCTCCTCTGGTCACGGGAGCTGCCCAGGGCGACAAGCTCTTCTGATGGCAGTATGCCAAGCTCCTGAAGCACTTGCTCAAAGCTTCCATGCCCCCTGTTATACCACAAAACAGCAATGGCAGTTGCCGTTTCCACAACAGTCCTGGAGGTAAACTTTGTCTTCGGGCATAGCAGCCAGATTTTGCTATTCAAAGACTCCGCTGCGTTTTGAGTTTTCCCTTGCAAGCAGCGGGTGAGCAGCTTTTCTTCTGTGAGACGCCTGTATATAGGCAGCAGAGCCAGCCCCTGTGCCTTTGTCAGAAGCGGAGTGTGGTCTGGTGCGGGCTCTCCGAGTGCTTCGGCCCGCCGGTGCTTACACCATGATTCCACTCCTTCGGGGCAGAACTTGTGGCTCTTGGCAGCATTTGTGGAACACGAGTGAAAGTAGGACGCCCAAATGGCACAATACATTTTCCTGACGTTGCCCCTGTTGCTGGTGATCGCTATCCGGTAGTAGTTTTGCAACTTTTGAATCTGCCCATCCTTCAACTTCTCACCACGTGGAAGAGGGGTCTTGAGCTTACGAAGTGCAGTTCCTAGGCGCTTGGCCACATGGTTTGTGCAGTCTTCCTTCGTGACAGATGTTTCGCCATACACTTTTGCCTCGGAGACTGCACTAAAAGCTTTACTGTCCCCGTCGCTTAGAAACTTGGTGAAGCGCAATGGTGTCTCCTGTGAGGGGGTCCGCGTCCATATGCGCACTGCTGCCTCTGTTTCCATTGCGTGAGAGGAGCATTCAGTGTTCTTCTCACAAACAGGGCCATGAAACGCTTGCCACACTTCCTCTTCTTCACTCCCGAGGTCTTGGTGCCGACTGCACGCAAGGCAGAAGTTGGAAAGTACCTCGAAATCGAGGCACAAGCCAGTGTCTACAGACACAGCTGCGCCAATGCCGTTATGGCTTTAGTGGCCCCGCTTTTGCCACGTCCCGTCGAACATAACGCCAACATCGCTGTCATCCACCATCTCCTTCGTGAAAACTCTAGCTTTCTCCATGTTTTCTGCCACGGCTTTCATGGCCGCAACATGAACTTTTTTGCCGATCGCTGCAAAGTTCTTATGATGTAATGGCACCGGCAAGCCAAGAACGGCACAAAAACGCGACAGCTGTTCGTGCCCGATGCCAATCGCGCGCGCTGCCACCACCGCCTTGATGTTCACGGCAAAGCTGTCGCGGGAGCTCCCACTCTGATAGTCTTGGCTTCCGCTGGCGCCATCCGCAAGTTCACCAGGCACAACACGGCTCGAGGTGTGCACAGCAGAGAGTACCGATGCAGGGCACTCGGTATTCGCACAATGCAGCTCGAGAAAAGACGAAAGGCCCTTTCGTTTTTCGGTCGCTTCGCGTACCGCAAGGGTACTGGTGTAGCACATTGGGCAAGCAGCCCCGCTTACCAGC